TAAACAGTTGAATAGTATAAAATAAAGTTTATAATAAATATAAAAACTTGAAGAAATTAATGCAAAAAATGAATAAAAATAAAAAAAATTAAAAAAATAGAAAACATTAGAAATGCATATTTTTATATAAGAAAAAAAATTAAGTTTTCTCTAAAATTTAATATTTCATAATTATTATATAAAAAAAAGGTTGATAAAGTTAGGGAATAAATATAGAAAAAAATGAATTAAAAAGAATTGAAAGATTAACAAAATATAAGAAATTTAGAAATTAAAAATTAAAAAAATAATATTTATTATAAAATATGGTTCTTAATAAAGAAAATATGAGAAAATTAATGATAAAATCATAAGAAGATAAAAATGAATTTTAAAAATAGAAATTATAAAAAAACTTTATTGAATAAATATAAAAAAGATCATAATTAATTGAAGAATAAAATAAAACTAAAGAAGAAAAAATTTAGTAAAAGTAATTCTTACTAAGTAAAATAAAAAAAAATCAGGAAAAAGAAAAACTAAACAAACAGCTAATTTAATAAGAAAGAATAGAAAAAGTTTGGTAATATTAATTAATAAAACATCATATTAATAATTATCAAAATAAAATAAAAAAACTCTTTAATTTTATTAAAATTATAAATGATTATATAATGATATAATTATTATATATTTAATGAAAATTAAATTAATATATATTTTAAACATATATATTTATTTTTATATTTATGAATTAATTTTAAGGAATTTACATGAACAGAAGTTAGATTAAAGTCGTTAAAAAGTTATTTAATTTAAAAATTATTATTAAAATATTTTAAATTATAAATAGATAGAACTAAAATATTCTTTAAGTTAATTAAAAATAGATTAGTTAAAGAATATAAAATAAAAGTTAATTTTGGAAAAATAGTAATAATAAAGTTAAAAATTATAACAGATTTCTTAAAACTATGAAAAAAACAATTCAAAATATTTCTTTTAAGCAAAGGATTAATTTTGGAAGCTTGAAAAAGAAAACTAATCACTATATTAAAACCTTGAAGAAAAATGTAAAAAAGTTCATGAAAGTTTACCATCATATTTATAGCTGTATTTAAAATATATAAATTATTAATATATTTTAATTTTTTATTTTTTAGTCCTGGTTTAAAATATTTAAATGATAATAGCTTAAGTATATCTATATAAAGTTAAATGAGAGATGATTTTAATAGCTAACTAGATGATAGAACTTCATTTTGTATTAAAAGTAGGTATTTATATCAAAAACAAAGGGCTTTAAATGAAGAATTGAAAAGCTTAACTGTTAAAGATAATTTGAAAAAAATTGAAAGACAAAGAAAATATAAATTATAAATAAATTAACAAAAATAAGAAAATATAAACAAAAAATTATAGGAAAAGTAATAAATGTAAGATAAACTTATACTTAAGAGAAACGATTATATAAAAAACGTAAAAATAAAATAGGATAATTTTAATTAGAATTTTGAAAAAAATCAGAGAAAATTATTTTATAGTTGTAATAAAATTATTTAATTATTTTTTATTTTTAAAAAAGAATTTTTAAGACCAGAAACTAGATGAAAATGAATAATTTTTAAATGAATTATATATGTTTTTATTTTTCTTAAAATTATTTAACATTATTTTATTTTTGATTATATAATTTTAAATTTATATTTAAATAAAGATTAAATATTTTTTTAATTTTAATAATTTGAAATTAAATTATAATGTTTTCATATTTTTTGTTTAAAATAGTCTTTAAATAAATTAATTAACTAATAAAAATTATTATTTAAATATTTAGAAAAAAAATTCTATACTTAATTATTAAAAAAACATTATTTAAATAAATATTATATTACAAATATATTTGATTATAATATATTTTCTTTTTTTGAATTAATACAAAAATTAATTTTATATGATATAAAATAAAGGGAGATGTAAAAAGAAATTATCGAAATAAAATTATCATTAGCTAAAGTTACAAAGATTTATGTTAAACCAATATTTCTCAAAAGATTAATAGAAATTCAGTAGAGTCCTTGATGGAACACAGGTTTAAGTATTAGATGATGATTATTAAGAAATATAATTTAAATAAAAAATAAATAATTAAATAAATGAATATAAAAAAAATGGATAATTTTTAAAAAACTAGAAAATATATACAAAAATAAAGATAAAAATATTATAGGTTTACTTTTCTATGAAATTATAGAAAACGCTCAAAAAATTACTAAATAGTAATAAATTAAAAAAATGAAAAATACAAAAAAAAATTTAAGATATAAAAATATATATAATTTAAATTTAATTTAAAATATGGGAAAAAAAGAAAATAATATAAATTATATATTAAAATTGTAAAAAAATAAAAATATTATTGATTATTAAAAAATTATATAATTTTAAAATCTAGAAAAAAAAAAAGGAAAATATTATACCATAAATTATAATAGTATCTTTTTATTTATAATTAAAAAAATATAAATAAAATAAAATAAATATATTAATTAGATATAAATTTAAAAAATAATATATATATATATATATAATTAAAATATATATATATACATAAATATTATTTTATTAATTTCCTATATCTTTTAATTTACATTTATAATCATTTTTTTAAATTTTTTTTTTTTAATTTTATTATTATCTTTTTTTTATTGTTTTTATTACATTTACGTATTTTAATAATTTTAAAATTTATTTAATAATCATCAATTTTTTTAAAAAAATATGATTTATTTTTTTAAATTAATTTTTTTATATAAGAAATATTATTTATTTATTCATAAATAATAAAAATATTAAATTAATTTTTAACAAATTATTTAGATTAATCATATAATTTTAATATATATTATATCATAATTCTATTAATTTTTATATATATATAATATATTTTGTATTTTTTTTTTAATTTAATTATTTAAATATTTAAAAAATATAAATTTATGAAAAAAATTGCTATAATAGGTGGCGGAATTTCTGGATTATCTTAAGCTTATTTTCTTAATAAACTTTATAAAAATTGCAATATATATATATTAGAATATTCAAATTCAACTGGTGGGGCAATAAAAACAATTATTTAAAATAATTTTATTTTTGAAACTGGACCAAGGTCTTTAAGAAATAGTTCAAATTTATTAGAGACTTTTAAAATATGTGAAGATATTGGAATTCTTAATTAAGGTTAATAAAAATTAAAAAATTATTAATTTTTTTTTTTAAAAATAGTTATTCCTTGCACCAATTTTAATAAAAAATGTTTATATTACAATGGATAATTGCATAATATTTATACATAATAAAATATTGTTTCTTTAATAAAAAATATTTATGAAAACCCTGATTTAATTAAAAGTGTAATTAAAGATATAAAGTTTGGAAAACCAAATAGATAAAATATAGACTAAAAGTAAATCATTATTTTATATTTAATATTAATTTTTAATAACTTAATTATAAAAGTTAGGACGTTAGTATGGAATAATATATTGAAAATTTGTTTGATACTAAATATGGTATAAATTTTAAAGGATTATCTAAATTTATAAATAAATATGCATTGAATGCTATGGCAAAAGGTTTTTAATTTTAGAAATTTTATAAATAAATTTGAAAAAGGAATTTATCGTGCAGACTCTTCAAAATTATCAAAATAAATTTGCATTTAGAAAATTTACATGTAAAATTATATTATGAAACATATTAATTAATTTGATTATCAAAACTAATAAATATCAGAAAATTTGCAATATTTTTTAAACAATACAATTTAAAAATGTATAATATTAATATATATAATATTATAATATATTTATAAAATTTATATTTTGTTTAATTCAGCTGAATCAATCAACTTTCAATAAGGAATTTAAACATTGCCAAATAATTTAGCTGCTTATTTATAAAAGAATAATGTTAAGATCAAGCTTAATCAAAAAGTTAAACGAATATAATTTAGCAAATAAGATAAAATTTAAGTAAAATATTTTTAAAATAATTATTTATTTTAGAATTTAAAAGGTTTTAACATAAGATTCTCAAGAAGAATATGATTATGTAATTTCAACATTAAATTCTAATTAACTTTCTGAAATTTTGTAAAATTCATAAGATTAGAATTCACCTAAAGTAATTAATTATATATAATAAATTTAAATATAATATATATATATATATATATATATATATTAATTTTAAAAAATAAAAAGTTAATGTAATTAATTAATTAATTAAATTAAATTGATTTACTTTCAATGATTTCTGTAAATTTCGGATATAAAGAAAGCATTATTGATGACAAAGTTTTTTTTTTTCTATGAAAAGTCTAATTTTATTATATTTTATAAAATTAAAAATAGTTAAAATGTTATGGGTATTTAATTCCTTCTTGCGAAAATCAAAAATTAATTGGAGTAGTATATGATTCTTGTGCTTATCCTACATTAGGACCTTCTGTAAGTTCTAAGATATCATTAATGTTTGGTGATAATATTGATATTAATTCAAGCAATGAAGAGATTATTTAAACTTGTCTTTAAGAACTAAAAAGCCATACAGGTATAAGTTAAATTCCTTGTGAAATAAAAATATCTAAGTGGAAAAATGAATTTCCTGAATATAAAGTAGGACATTATCAAAATGCTTTAAATATCATAGAGCTCGCAAAAGATATTCACAAAAACTTTTGGGTAAAATAAATATATTTATAAACTTATAATATTTTAATAGATTCATGGTAAATTTTTATTTACACCAGCAGTTCCAGAACTTATTTTATTATCAAAATGTATTGCTTAATAAATTAAAATAAATTGAATTAATTATATATTAAAAAAATATATATAAATATTATTGCATTTTTATAATACTTAAATTCAAAAATATTTTATAATTAATTTTAAAATCAATAAATATTTATTTTAATTTTTTTCTAAAAAAAAATTGTATAATAATAAAATTTATTAATGTCTGAATTAAGAGAAATTTTAAAAGATGATTCAAAAGTAAAGTAAATTGCAATAGCAGCTTTTAATACTGTTGATACTGATAAAAGTGGGTATATTGATTTAGATGAATTAGAAGCCTTAATGAAAGATATGGCTGTAACATTAAATATAACAGCTCCTACAAAATTTGAAATATCAAATGCATTTAAAGAAATCGATGCAGACAAAGATAAAAGAATTAGTCTTGATGAGTTTACTATCATGGTAAGGGAAATAATTAGATTAATGGCAGGGTTATGAAATCGCATTATATATAAATCATAATGTTTTAAAAATTTGCGATTAAATATAATAGATAAAATTTTATATAATCAAAGAAATTAATTTTTATATATTTTTTGAATTTCTTAATTTTTATTGTGTAATAGAAAGATTTATATATTTATTTTAAACATAAAAAATAATTCTTATAATTTAAAATTTTTGCAAAAAGGATGTAAATTTGAATTTACAATATTTTTTATAAATTTAATGCAACTTTTATTTATTTAATTTTTTTTAACACTTTAAAAAATATTCCATAAATTTATGCAAATTTAGAGGAAAAAATAACAATATTATAAATTCTAAAGTAAATACAAAGATAACTAAATATTTTAAATTAACAAAACTTTGATATTAAATAATTGTTTTCTTATATTTCTTTTTATTATAATAATAAGATAATATTGCTATTTTTTACAAATTCAAATATATAAATTCGTTTATTCAGTTGTATTATATAGTAATTGTATTCTTAATAAAAAATAAAAAATTATTTTAATTTTTATTTGCTAATTTTTTCGAAAGAAAAAGTAAATATTCATATTTGATTAAATATTTATATTCTTATTCGCTTTATAATTTAATAAGTTCTGTTATAAAGAATTTCACTATTTTTTTAAAAAGCAATTTTATATTTTTTTTATTATTAAAAACTTATTATCATTAAAATTAAATATCAATAATATAATGTTCTTTAATTTTATAATAAAAGTCAATGATATATAAAAGGTTAATGTAAAATTAATTTAAAAATCATTAATTTTCTTAAAATCAAAATAAAATACTGACCTAACAATATCAAAAATATGAAAATGATATAAAAATACTAATATTAATATATATCTACAGTCAAAAGAATATTAATTCTTTATGAAAACCCTATTTAAATAAATATTATTTTAAATATAAATTTATAATTAAACAATTATTATTCGAATAAATGTAAAATATAAATATTATTTAAATACATATTTATTTTAACCTTTAAAAAAAATTATATTTATATTTGAATTTAAATTCTTACTAGATAAAAAAAAATAATTCAATATAAAAAAAATTGAAAATGTACAGCACTGATACTAATTATGAGTTTATTATTAATATATTAATTTAATTATAATTAAAATTAATTCCTTTTATATAGATTTATCACACATATATATATAAATTATCTAATTTTAATAAAAAAATAAATAAATTATATATTAAATAAAATTAATTTTATAATTAAAAAACATTTAAAATATATAGTATAAGTTTATAAAATTAAGTGAAAATAAAACTTTATTAAACAAGTTTTTTTAATTTTATTATGAATATTTAATATATAAAAATAATAAACATATTAATAATTGAGATTCACATCTATAAAATATCTGTATTTAAACGCTTTAAATGAAGATGTAATTACCAAGGTTTTTATAAAAAAAAGAAATTAAGTGAAAAGTTACTATTATTTTTAAAGTATTTTTTAAAAACAATAATAAATTAAAATTAACTTACAATATAAATATTTTTTTTTAAAAAAAATACACTATTATAAATAATATCAAATAAGGATGAAAATTTTTTTTTTTTAGTATAGGAGATGAAATTCAAAAAGTAAATAATAAGTTTACTATTATAATTTTTAATATTAGTTAGTTCATATAACTATTTTCATATTTTAAAATTATTAACAAATATTATATTTTATTCTAAATTTTTAATTATTCCAAATATAAAAATAGAGAAATTCTAAAATTGTTAAACATATAAATAAAGGCTTTAATATTAAAAAATAATAATAATTACTTAAATGTAATTTTACTTCAAATATTAATAATAAAAAATTTTATAATTAGAAAACATAAATATTAATATTATAAATTTTACTAATAAATTTATATATTTATTTAAAAATATATATTAAATAAAATATTTTCATTATGCTGTTTTCATAATTAATATTCATATTTATAACTATAATATATTTAAATTAATTTTATTTAAATTAAAAAATAAAAGATATAATTAGATTTTACGTCACTTTTAAGAAATTATTAATAATAAATAATAAAATGTTTAAAAATTTTATTTAAAAAAATATAAAAATAGGATTCTTTTCAACATAAAAATTCAAGTTCGCAAAAGACATTCCTTAAAATGTTGAAAAAAAGCATATGAATTTATATTAATCTGTAACAGATGCTTTAGATGTAGCTTTAAAAACAGATAAAAAGTACTTTAAATACAGCATTTTTTCAATTATATATTTATTCCATTAAGTGCCTTAATTTTTGGAGAAGATGTTAAATTTGGCGGAGTTTTTAGATGCACATAAGGTCTTAATGAAAAATATGGAATTGATAGAGTTTTTAATACACCTTTATGTGAATAAGTAATTAAATATAAAAATATTATAAATTTAAAATAAAACTTTATTAAATATATAATTTTTAACAATTCTTATTATAAATACATTTTTAAAAATAATATAATATTCGCATTTTAATATATATATAAGATTTTTTTTAATATTATAATTTAGTTTTATGTTTAATATTCTATCTATTAATTAAATGATATTTTTTTTATTATAATAGGGAATAGCAGCATTTGCAATAGGTCTAGCTACAGTAGGTAAAACAGCAATAGCAGAAATATAATTTGGAGATTATATATTTCCAGCATATGATTAAATAGTAAATGAAGCAGCTAAATACAGATACAGATCAGGTAATTAATTTGATTGTGGTTCTTTAACAATAAGAGCCACTTGGGGGGCAGTTGGACATGGAGCTTTGTATCATTCCTAATCTCCTGAAGCAAACTTTTCTCATACACCTGGTCTTAAGGTTAATAAATTATGGATAAAAATAAATATATATAAAAATAAAGGTGGTTATACCAAGAAATCCAGTATAATGTAAAGGATTATTACTTGCAAGTATAAGAGATAAAAATCCTGTTATATTCTTTGAACCAAAATCATTATATAGGAACGCCGAAGACGAAGTTCCATTAATGGATTATGAACTAGAATTACATGCTGCTGAAGTTGTTAAAGAAGGAAAAGACATTACTTTAATTGCTTGGGGAGCTTAAATGAGAGTTCTTAATGAAGTATTTTTATTATATTTTTATAAATTATTTATTTATTTTTAACGGGAAAAAGGCTGCTAAATAAGCTGAGTAAGATTTTGGAATTTCATGTGAAATTATTGATTTATAAACTATTTATCCATGTGATATGGATACTCTTGTTAAAAGTGTTAACAAAACTGGAAGATGTATAGTTAGTCATGAAGCACCTGTTACAGGAGGTATTGGTTCTGAAATTGCTGCTGGTATATAAGAAAAATGTTTTTTAAGATTAAATGCTCCAGTATAGAGGGTTTGTGGATTAGATACTCCTTTTCCTTTGATTCATGAATTTGTAATTTATTAATATATTTTAATATTTTTATTTATAAATATATTATTTATTTTAAGATTTATTTACCTGATAAATGGAAAGTATATGATGCAATCAAAAAATCAATTAATTATTGAATTTTTATTTTCTTTATTTTTTTATTTATATTTTAAATAATTAGTTAATTCTTTATTTGTATTCTTTTATAAACATTTACAATATTAAAAATAATTGAAAATTTTAAATATTTATAAGTACTATTTGAGATATTAACTGATTGTTCATTTTACTATTAATATTTTTTTTAATTTATTATATTAAAATAATTAAAATTTATAAATGATTAATAATTTTAAATTAATGTTGAATTTAAATAAAATAAATAGATTATCTAATATTTGCAAGGTTGCATATAATGCAAATATAAATATTAAAATCGGTATTAAAAAAAAATATTGTGTTAATACTTAAAACAAATATTATTTTAATATTAAAAAAATATACTTTTATTGGGTACAAGAAAATAATATAAATATGCGGAGAATTTTTCATAAACTTGTAATTCTAAAAAAAGTAATATTTAATTCTTTTATATTTTAATTCTACATTATAAATTTCTAAAATAAAAATAGAAAGTATTATTTTATCAAATAAATATTTAAAAATATATATAATTATTTTTTTTAACTTTTTCTGAATCTTCCTTTTTAAATTCTGACTCAAAAAAAAAGCGATTAAAAAAAATTTGGAAAATATCAATATATATATATATATATATATATATATAAATATATATATATATATATATATATATATATATATTGTAATATTTTAAAAAAATTTTATCTTTTTTATTTAAAATGTTTTTTATTATTATTATTATTTTTTAAATTATATATAAGTTTTAATGGTAATTGCTAATTTTAAGTATTAATTTTTATTAATTAGAAATTCCAAATTAAAAAATACATACTTATTTATGAATTTATTATTATTTAAATATCTATATCATGTCTTATGCATATATATTTTTTTTTAACATATATTTTATTATTTGATGTTGTATTTTATTTATAAACTTTAAATAATACTACTAATTATTTGATTATCTTATATCTGTATCTGTTACTATTTTTTATATTTTCTGTAATTTTTCTAAAAACTCAATCAATAAAAAAGGTAATTATTTATTTTTTAAAGTTTTTTTATTTGAGTTTAAAAAAAAATACAATAAAAAAATAAAAATTAGCGTAGCGTAATTTATTAAAGAAATTTATTTTTCTTTATATAAATTTACTTTAACTTTTAATCTTATTTATTTATGATAAATATTACTTTTTAATAAAATTTATATGCAAATAAATTTTAATTTAGTTAGTTATAATTTTGTTATCAAATATTTTGTTAAAAATTATTGTAATATATAGTTCTAATGGCATTAATTATATATTTGATATTTAAATATATAAATTTATTTATACCATATATATATAATTTAGACTATTATGTTTTTCTCTAAATTTAAAATACTTTTTAATTAATTGATTTTTATCAATCTACAAATATTTAAAATATAATTATAAATTAAAGAAAAATAATAATTTTTTTAAATATTTAACTAAAAATTTATATAAAATTAATGTTTTGATAACGGGAGCCTTTTTTTTTTGAATCTATTTCTAGCCCTTTAGGAATTTGAATCTCGGATTAATTAATAAGTTTTTTTTTATTATTTAATAATTATTCTAAAAATGTTAATGATTTAAAAATTTTAAATAAATTAATATAAGCATGATGTTTATATAAAACTAATAATATTTTTTTATTTTTAATGAAAAATTTTAATTTTTTTATTTAATTTTTTTTTTTTTATATAAATTAAATATTATTAAATTATAATTAATATATTTAAAATATATAATTTTTATATATATTTTTATAATATTGTATATTCAAATTTTTGTATAAATAATGTTGCGATACTTAATCATATTCATTTTATTAATTAAATATAATTATATTTTTCATTAATTTTATTATTAAATTTTGTTATTTTTTATGTTTATGTAATTAAATAATATTATAAAGTTTATATTTAATTAATATTTAAATTATGCTAACTTTTTTTTTATAATATTACTTTATTTATCAAAGATTTTAATAATATATTTTTATATATTTATTTAAAATATAATAATTTTTTTATTGAATAAACAAAATACATAATTTTATTTAATTAAGGAAATCTTGATAATCTAAGTCGTATAATTTTATGCTTATATAATAGTAATATAAATTTATTTTATTTCCAATAACTATGTTAGCATTTTAAGTTTCCTATTTCATTTTTTTATTTCTTATTTTTGTTAGTTTAATTGTAAAATAATAATAATTTAATAAATCATTAAATTTTTTTTTAAATGCTTAAAATTTCTGTTATTTTTTTTGATATATTTTAAGCAAAATCATTATTATTTTTTAATATTGCATTCGCATAAATATTAATTTTAGTTTATTTATCAATCATTAAAAAATTATTAAAAATATTTATTTTTTTATTATTCCAGCCGCCAGAAAATAAATATTAAAATGAATTAAAAAATAAATTTTCTAGAAAGTTTAACTAATCAAGAAGATTCATTTAAAATTGATATCTTCCTTTCTATGAAATATATTTTTTATTGATTTAAAATATATTATTTAGATAATAATAAAATTATATATACTATGAATATTTTTTTACTTATATAAAAAAATGGATAGAACCTGTTTATGGATTATAAAAAAATTCGAAACATTTGCTTTCAAAAAAAATGTCTATTATAATAAAAAATAAATTTAAAATAGCATATTATTTTAGAAAATAAATATTTAATTGCATTTTAAAATAATAAAAATAATAAGATGTTAATAGAGCAAAATATAAATATTTAATAAATTTAAAAGTACTAAATAAATAGAAAATAAAGTTAATGAAGTATAAACTATTTATAAGAAAAAACTTTGTTATATGTCACTTACTATTTTAAGAAAAAATTATAATTTAGTTTGATGGATACGGTAAGAAAAAAATTATTAATTTATAATAAAAAGACTAATTAAATAAAATCATTTATTATTATTAGTAACATTAACAAAAGACTAATTTATGTCTTATTAGATTTTAATGTTTTTGATATGACATAAGACTTTGTTTGTTTTATAATTTTACTAATATTAAATAATCCAGCTTTAATATATTGCTTGTAGAATATAATATTTAATGCTAAAAATGCATCAAACCATCATGCTAAAATGATAAAACCATTTATTAATAATTTTATTTTTATTCTATATCATACTTAAGTCTACTTAATCCAATTGAATACATGATTGCTTTATTAAAAAGATATAATAGATGTCCAGAATTTCAAAATAGTAAATAACTTATTTTAAATTTCTTCATTTTATAAACATTATGTGAAATTAGTAAAATTATCTTTATAAAAATAATTTTTAGTGATATCAAAATCAAATATAAAAAAAAAACTCATATAGATATTAAAATAATTTTAAGTATAAATATAATAATAAATATTAATTTTATTAAATATGTAAAAATATTAACTATTTAAATAAATTGTAACTTTTAATTTGAAAATCTAATTTAATGAAATTTTAAAATTTAGCATTAATTGTAAAAAATTAACAATAACAAGAAATAAACTACAGATTATTTAAATACTGAAGAATAAGTATATACAAAAAATAGATTTTTAAATAGATTAATCAATTTTTTAAAATTTAGATTTAATAATCGACATTATTATATTAAAATTAAAATAAGTAAAACACTGATATCTAATATCAAAAAATTATAGGAAATAGAGTTTTCACAATAATTTACGACTAATTGCAATAAAAAATTGATGATATGATTTATCCTCACTCTATATTTTACTAAAAAATATACGCAGATATACCTATTAGAAATTATTCTTAATATATTATTAATTAAATTTCATTTATTTTAATAAAAAAATTATATTAAATTGTGTATTTGCTTAAACTAAGATTAAAAAATTAGACATAATTTAATGTAATAGAATATTTTTTAGATAAACATATCTTTAATTATATAAGGTTTGAAATAATTTTAATAATGCATAAATAAAAATTTAAAATTATTATTAATATCATTAATATTTTTTTTTTATTCATAAATATTCATTATTTAATCTTTCTTTAAAAAAATAATAAAATGAAAATAAAAATAAATTTCCTTTCTAATTTTTAGATATATAAATAATTAATTATTCTATATAATTATTGATCTATAAATATATATTTTTTATAAATATAAAAAAAATTAAATAAATGCAAAATATATAAATTGTATAATTATATTATTAATATAATATTTTTAAATATAATAGGATAAAAATAGTAATCTTTTAATGTTTTAGTTTTTGTAATTAATTTAATTTGAATCATCAATTATAAAACAATAAATATATAAAAATATATATTAGATCTTAAAGTTAAATATTATTTTATTTTTTTATAAACTAATTTTTAAAAGTTTTTAAAGAATAAAACAAATCGAAAGTAAATAATAATACTTTAAAATAAAAACAGTAAAATTTGATGATTAAAAAAATTAAATTGCATATAAAAAAACTTTTAAAATTTATTTATTTTACTAAATAAAGAAATAATATAAAAATAAAATTAAAAAAATATTTTTAAAGAAATAATTTTTAAAATTCATATAAAATATAATAATTTTAAATTTATTTTTTGTTATTTATTATTTAGTTTTTTAATATTTTCATTTAAAGAAAACCTTTTGCTTAAATTTATTTAAAAATTTAGAAAATTTAAATGTAACAACATAATATTTTTCCAAAAAATATATAAAATTATTATTTATAATAAAAATGTATTATAACTTATATAGAAATAAGCTCAAAATATTTGTAACACCAAAATTAAATAAAAAAAAATTAATTATATAATATTATAAAAATTAGTATAGAACATCAAAAGGCTAAGAGGGTTAATATGGCAATTTTCAAAATTTATAACCATAATATTTTAAATAAATAAAATATAAGTTTTTCAAAAATTTTGATGTCGCCTATAATTAGTAAAATACGAAAATATCATTTACATATTAAAAATAAAAAATATTCGAATTGAATTTTATGATAAAATTATATATTTAATAAAGTAAAAAAAAATTGCAAAAATATTTATATTTGTCGAAAAAAAAAATTCATATTTTTACATATCTAATAAAATAAATAAATTTTAAAAGTAACTTGTAAATAAATAAAATATAAAAATATAATTGAATATTATTTTGTATCTTTATCTTTTTATACATAAAAATATATCAATATATTTTTAATAATAATAATTACTTATATCCTTTTTTATATCTTTAAAATAAATAAAAAGATGATTACCAAAAGTTTTAACAAATTTAAATTTTTGATATAAAATAACAAACCAATACAAACGTTTTCTTAATGGAAACATCCTACCAATCTAAGGCCGGAAAAGACAATATTTCCTTCACCAAAAGAAATGTTCCCAAAAGCAAATCCTGAAGCATATTCGATTCCAAACGATTTAACACCTTCATTATTTTAAAATGCATTAGGTATAAAATTAACTCCAGAGCCTCGTGCAGCATTTATGTAATTTGCTAAATAGAATGGATAAATGTATCATATATTTGATGCGTCTAAATTTGTAAAATTATAAATTAAAGTAGATTTCATATTTTATAAAACAGCCGCTAGGTAGAATTTGCTAAAAAGCAGCATTTTTTTTATAGGGAAAACATAGACCTACTTTCAGAAATTGTGATTAAGTTACCTTTGATAATATAATTATTGTAAATGCGGAAAATATAGTATTAACAGGAAAAAAAGCTTTAAAAAAAACAATATTTTATCATAGTGGTATATATTTTAAAAAATATTTTTTATATGTAAAATTATATAAAAGGATATGTTGGAGGAATAAAGGAAAGATCTTATAAACATTATTTAACTTAAAAACCTGAATAACTTGTATATATATTAAAAAAATTATTTTTATTTTAATTAAATAAAGATTTACTATTGTATAAGTAAAATGCTTCCTAAAAATAAAAAAAGAAGAGATTTATTATAAAAAATAAGAATTTTTAGAGGTTTGTAACATGATCATAAAGAATTTCCAAATGTAGAGTTTAATTAAAATATAAAATAAAATTATTATGATAATAATTAAAAAAATATATTTAAAAAGTTCTTGCCATAAACTAAACCACTTGTTGATGAAAAATTATATAATCCATTTTTACAAAACATTGAAAATTTAGTTATTAAATACTAATCTGCATAAGGTATGATTTATAAAATTTTCATCCTTAATTAATCTAATATTAAAAAAAAATAGATACGCCAAAAGAATTCGAAGGATTAAAAAAAGATATTGATCATAACTTTGAAATTCCATTTAATTAAAGAGATAAAGTTGTTAAATTATCTGCCCATAATATCAAAGTATTTAAGGCCTGGAAAAAGTATCATGCGAAATTGAGAAGGTATAAGATTCATAAAATTAGACCTCCACTTAATAGAGATCCAAATAATTCTAGAAAATCTATATTAATTACTTCTGAAAAATATATTAAAGAACATAACCTTGGAAAATACATTGAACCCGAAGAGGCTCCAGAAGAAGATGATACTATTGTAAAATCTTTTCCGAAACCAACGAAAATTATATATTGAACAATATATTCATAAAATATATAATAATCATAATAAATATTTAGTTTAAAAATTATAAAGATTATAAAAATAGATAAAATATTATATATATGTTTTAGATTTTATTTAAAAAAAATATTTGAATTAGAATTATATAAATATTATAATAAAATAAATTATAAGTTTAATATTTGTAGATATATTATGCAATGTTTTTTGCATTTGAAATTAATTAAAATATATTAATTTAAATAAAATTTATAATTTTTATCGTTTTATTATTTATATTAAAAGCTTTTTAAAATATTTTCACTTCTATTTCGTATTTTATGCTTTAACAATTCAGGCAATAATAAACTTCTTTAATTTATATTTATATTTTATTTAATATTATTATAATAATTAAATTATGATTTTTTAGATAAAAATAATTATTATAATCTTCCAAATAATTATTATTTACTATTTATATCAAAATATTATAATAAATTCAGTTTTATATTTTATTATTATCTAATTCTACAAAATATTAGATATGAATTAATTTAGTTTTTTATACATTATAATCATTAATATTTTAATATGCTAATAATTTTTTTTTTGATAAATATATGCATTATGTAAATATTTATTCTTATAATTTTTAATGGTTTTTCATTATTTTATTTATGGTTTAAATAATTTAGATATTTAAAAAATTAATCTAATAATACAATATCCGAATATTTATTATATTTTTTTTTTAAATTATATGATTTATTTAATTTTTTATAATTTGAAAATAATTATTATATATTAGCTTTTTTTGCCTTATTTTATATATTTATTAATATATTTAAATGTTTTACAGTATTATATTGAAATATTTATATTAAATTTAAAATAAATTTTTGCTTTGAATTTATGTTATTTTTCTTTACTACTATAATGAGAATTTATTTATTATTTTTATCATTTAAATTTTAAGAAAATTTTTAAAATAAAACATTAAATTCGTTAAACAAATTTGCTTCTTATCATAATTATAATTAAACTAAACAAAAAGGATTAAAGAGGTTTAGGAATTCTAATAGTAAATTTTCTCATTTAAATATTTTAAAATTTTTAATTTATTTATGCCATATCTATATTTTGAATTTAAATTTTTACAATTAAATGTTAATTAAAATCTTCTTTTACATAATTTAATTATTATTTTTTATTTAGTTTATAGTTATTTGATTTATTATTTATTAATAAATTATCAAAGATCCTTAAGTTCTAATAATCTTACTTTCTAAATTTTCGTGTATATTTAATTAAAATTTATATATTATATAATAAAAAAAAAAAATTATTTTAAAATATAAATTATATAATATTTATAAAAATTAAACTTTATAATATATTAATTTTTTTGTTAAAAAATTAATAATAATTCAAGGAAACTATATATTATGTACAAATAAAATATTAAAAAATAAAGCATGCATATTTTTAGAGCAAAGACAAAAATTTCTTGAGACATTTTTACAAAAAAGATATATTTTTCGAAAAATCTTTGAAATATTTATAAAATAATTTATATTTCTTAAATTTAAAAAAGTTTATATTTTAATTTTAATGTATTTAAATATATCATATCCTTTTATATAGTTAACAAATTTATATTACATTTAATATTAAAATATATATTGTAAATAATTTAATCATATTTTAATTATTAATATATACTTAAATTTCATATATTAACTCAATGTTTTTTTTATATTATTATAAATAAATATGATTTTTTTGTGAACTATATATCTATAACGAATATACTGAATGCTTTATTAATCAATTATATATTTTTATAATAAGAAAAAAATTTAATACTTCTTATTCAAAGCAATATTTTTTATTTTTAATTATTTTATTATATATTTATATATAGTGAAAATCCTTATTTTTTTTGGCATAAACAAATTATTAATTAATATAATTTTTACCTTTATTTTATTTTTATTTTTTTACAATTGTTTTAAATTTATTTCATAAATTTATTATATATTCACATTTAATTTTTATATATATTAATTCATTATCATATATCATATAAATTTAATTTTTTATTTTTTCTTTATTTATAATGTATATATTTTTATGTTTTTATCTCATAGTCTTTTATTAAATCCACTAAAATTTTCTAATAATAAAGCATTTTTATAATCTTTAATTCTTTTATATATTTTTTTTAATATTTCCCCCAATTAATACTAAAGGATTCATTTGTGGAGTATTTCTCGGCAATAGAATAATATGAATTTTTTACAATTTGCAATATTATTTTCTTAAATTTTTCAATTTAGTGGCATGATGCTCAATCATATCCTTAGTTGTTGCCCAAGTAAAGTGTTATGCTTTTTTTAGTAGCATTTTAGGTTTCAGCAATAAATTCATAGTCTTTTAGAATCTAACTATATTTTTTAAAAATATTTACTTAAATTGGTGTTTCATCAATAAATATAGGTACTTATTAATAAATAATATTTTAAATCATTCGTATTGCAAATTCTTTTTCTTATTATTTAGTTTTATCATTCTGCATATTTGGTTTACATTAATTCCTCCTCTTGTACCTTAAATTATATTTTTTGTAAAATTTGTTAATTTGGTATTATTTTTTTTTTAAATTTAATTGTTTCTCCATATTCTCCTTAATATTTTTTGAAGATTATAGCAATATAATTTTTGCAAATTTATTTTCTTCAATCCGAAATTCCATTTATTTAGTAGAATTTTTAGATAAATCACATTAGTAGAGTTATACTTCTTTTTCTTATTTAAAAAGGGTATGTATTTATTTAATTAATTTATATTATAAGTTAGTTATAGCTTTAATATAATAAATTAATATAATTATTTTAAATTAATTCTGAAGCTAGTAATCTTTTAGGCAGTTTTTTACTATACCTTTTTTATTTTTTAAAATTTTTATTGATTTTTAGTTTTATTCATTTGAGATCCCATAAAAATCAGATATTGATTCAAGATACCTGACATGATTTCTTCTTATCGTTTATTGAGATAGTATTTTATAATTATTTTTGTATTCATTTAATTTATTAAAATTAAAATTTTATGATTTTTAAAATTTAAAGATTGATTATCGCATTATTAACTTTAAATAATACCACCTTAGTTGATTTTTTAAAACTTTACCATTAATATTATTATAAAGTGTCATTAAATTCAATAGATTAATCTGTTTTAACTTTTTTTTTGCATTAAAATCTAAAAAAAAATATATAGTTAAAAGCTTTTGTAAAAAATTAAATAATTTTATTATACTTTTTTACATAACGGTATATAAAATTATTATTTAAAATTAATTTTTTTTAACGATTATTACAATTAATATAATTTTTATATACAAATAATATATAAAAGAATTATAAAATATTTTATATGATATAAATTTTATATCTAATTTAAAATAACACATATATATTTCTTTAAAAAGCTTTAATTCAATGTTTAATATTAAATAAAATATTTATTATTCTCTCCTATAATTAGGGTAATATTTTCCTTCTATAGATAGTCCAAGTACTACATCATAATATCTTATAGAAGTTTGCTATGAAAAATATTTACTGCCCAGAAAAAATATGTATGCCCAAGAGGGGCTATTTAAGTAAAAAAATATACTAAAATTTAACTTTACGAAATGCTTATAGAAGAACTATCCAAAAATAGATAACACAAAGATTGTAAACTTGGGTTTTCTCTAAAAACATTACCAAATAAATAATTTATTTTAGATTTAAGTTATTACTTAAATCCATAATCAGATCTATTTTCATTTGAATATTAAGAAAAGAAAATATATAAAGTAATGATGAAGAACAATTTGTTTTGCTTCCATTAGAATATTTTTAATTTTATTTTTAAATTTATAATTTTATTAAAGAAAATTTAAGGATTTTAATAAAAATGTTATCTTATCTAAGAGAAAAATTGTATTAAAAAGATTTAAAAAAAAAGAAAGTAAAAAAATAAAAAAAAAAAACGGAGATTATAAATTTTAAAACTAGAGTATCAAAAAATCTAAGAAGAAATTTTAAAAATTTGAATAATAAAGAATACAATAATATTTATTAACCATATTGAAAAAAATTTAATACATAGAATTTATATTAATTTATTTCTATTATACTTTGTTATTTATAAACATTTTATAAATATAGTTTTTATTATTTTTTAAGTTCATAATAATTTCATAATGAATGTTTTTATAAAAGTATTATTATTATACAATAATTATTTATTATAAATAATATGATACTAAATTTTTATTTATAGTTAGTGAGCATATATATACATAAACAATATATAAATATATCTTAAAAATATATTACTATATTTATTTCTAATATAATTTATATTATTATTTAATTTAATCTATGATTTTCTTTTGATATGTTTTAAAATAAATTATTATATATTTTAATTAGTTAGTTATTATTATAAAAATACAAAAAAAATATTAATTAATAATATAATATTTATGTTAATATTTATTTTAGGATAAAATAAAAAATACATATTTATAAAATTTTATAAAAAAAAAGGCTAATTATAAAAAAATCAATTATAAAAATGTTTTTTGGTAATTCTTTTTTAAGATAAAAAATTATTTATATACAAATTTTTAAATAGTTTGCATTATATATTTTATTTTATATATAATTTATATTAATATAACAAAAAAAAATTAAAAAAGATTTAAATAAAAATATATAATAATAATATATATATTATTAATTTTTTATATTAATTTTATTTATATATAATAATATATTCTAATAATATGAACATTAATCGATTTCATCTATATATAATTTACATTTAAAGATTAATATAAACTATGCAATAACTGATTTATCCAAATCTAAAGTATTATAAAAAGATTTTTATGCTAACTTTAAAATGCAAATTCTATCTAAAACTTATTCTTTTTTTTAAAAAAAAAATTATTGAATAAAAATTAATTATTTTATTTTTCACTACAATCTTCTTGAAAACGTGTGTATATTTTAATCAATATTATCTATTATTTTTGAAATTAACTTATACACTTTCATTTTATTTTTATTTCTATTATTTATTTATTTTAAAAAAGAAAAAAAAAATTATAAATAAATTTTTTGCCATTTATTTAATTTTACTCTATAGATATGATTTAAATTATTGCTAGCATAATATTTTTTTTGTATTAATTATTAAAAAAATATAATTTTCATTTTAATTCAAATAAATTATTTACTTCTAAGATTCCTGTCACGATAAGGTTAATATTATTTTTAAAGATTTTATAAAGTAATTATATTTTTAATAAAATTTAAGAAAATATGGAATATTTTACTTTACACATTAAAGTTTTTCATTTTTGAAAGCTCATTTTTTAAAAAATGTAATATTTATATGATAGGATTTAGTAAAGTATAATATAGAGAAAAAAAATATCAACTAAGCCTTTAATAAATATATTGTTTATGGGATTTTGTTTGTTTATTCATTCATTATCATTAATAATTAATAATTAATAATTAACTTAATATTTATTTCTTTCAACGCTATTCATTAATTTACGATAAAAATCCCATATATTGTTTAGAGAATAAACCTTATTTTACTATTTATATTCTTCGATCTAATACTAATTAATTAACCCTAATATTGTATATTTTAAACCTTTTCATAGCATTAAGTTAGTAATATTAAATCCCTTTAGCCAAATTTTTATTTTAAAATAACTATTCCAATCGCTTTTTCATCACAATAAAGAAAATAATATTCTTAGCAAATTTAAATATTTTATTTTTTATTTGTATTTATTCAATAGATTAATATTTTTAGTGCTCTATTTTAAGTTTTTTTCAAAGTATTTTTAATATTTTTTAATTTACTCAATATTTAGGAGTTTTTTATTCAAATTAGTTTCTTTTATATTTACAAGTTATTGAAATTTCCATTTTTTTATAAAAACTTATAAAATAATTGAATTTAAGTCAGTAAAAACAAGCTTTATAAAAATTTTCAAAAGAAATGTATGGAATTCGAAAATTTTTTTTTATGAGATATAATTAAATTTAAATAATTATGGATTTTTGTTTTAGGCTATGTTATAAGTTTAATTGAGATTTAAAAATTTTTATAAATAAAAATTGTCGTATATATGGTTTAATTAGATTTTATGATGTTAACAATTCTTATTTTTTTCATTGTATATACTTTTAATTCTTATTAATATTCTAATTTTTTTAATTTTAAAACAAGGAATATTTTTATTTTAGAAAAAAATTGTTAGAAGAAAAGAATTTTGCACATGAATTAGAAAGTTCAGTTTAATCATTATAGTGCATATATTATATGGATTTAAAAAAAACTATATCAATTTATTTTAAAAATAATTAATATTATGAGTTTAAAATAATTTCATACAGATTTATATTTTTTTTACAATTATAGAATGACATTTTTTCAAAATAATAATTATTCTATTAATAAAACTATTTGTATAATATAATAGATATATCTCTATATCTCAATTATTTTATATAATTAATTATCAAGGCTATCTAGCAATTAAATATTTTAAGCCTATATTTAAATATACTATTATATTTATTGCGGCTTACATGGTTTCCTAAATAAATGCAGATATAATAGTAATATTAGAATAATTGAATCTTAAATCTCATTATTATTAAAAATAATATTTTATTTAAGGGTAAAATATAGGTTTAATGCTAACTAATTATTAATATAAATGTTAATATAATTCTAATAATAAATATAATTGTAAATTATATTTGAGTGTTATTAATAAAAATAAGAAATATTATATTATTCTTTAAGAAAACAGAATATTAATAAAAATATTACTTTAATTTATACATCTATATATTTATAAAAAAAATAAAATATAAAATTAATATATTTTTTTTTTAAATGTTTTATTATAGAAATATAAGTAATTTTTTTTAAATAAATATAAATTATAATTAAAGTTTAAAATTAAAAAAAATATAAATTAAAATTATTATAATAATATAATTTAAAAAATAAAAAATATTTAAAAATATTATTATAAATTTAATTATTTTATAATAAAAAAATATATAATGAAATAAAATAATAATAATAAAAATAAAAAATATGTGTAGTATTTATTTAAAAATAAATATTTATAATAAGATAAAAGTTTGTAAAAAAATAATATATGAGTTAACAAAAAATAAATTTTAAATAATAAAAATATAAAGAGAAATAATAAAATTAAGGTAATAAATTATTATTTTTATTATAAAAAATAAAATAAATAAATAAATAAATAAATAAATAAATAAATAAATTATTATAAAAATTTATAAAAAAATTTATAAAAATAAATATATAATAATTATAAAATTTATTGTAAATATAATTTTATATTAATTTATTTTTGATTTATTTTTTATTATTTTAATAATATTTAATTAATTTTTTAAATAGTTTAATAATTTCCTATTCTTTTTCTTTGTTCAATAATATATTATTTATTTTTTTGTTTATATATTTATTTAATTAAATTGTAATTTTTTTTTAATAATTAATGAAATCAATAGAATATTTATTTCCTTATTTATAATTTAATAATATTAATATTAATAATTTTTATTAAAAATAATCCATATAAAAATGAATGTTTTTTTTATTAACATATATAAATTATTTTTATAAAAATTTATTGCAAATTATAAATATATAATTTTTTTATTCAAAATTATAATTTAAAATTTTACTTATATATTTTTTTATGATTAATTCATATTTTATTATTTATAATAATATTTAAATTATATTTAATATATTAATTTTTATTAAATTTAATTTTATATTTAAGAAAGTAAATATTTATTTTTTAGTTTCATCTAATTTAAAAAAATTTATTAATTTGATAAGATTAATGGATTAATAATTATTTTTTTGTAATAATTTTATGAAAAAATTAAAAAAAAAAATTATTCATAAAATTATTACTCAAAAGTTTTATTAATATAATTTAAATTTTTTTTTATTTTAAATTTTTTTATTTGATATTTTTTTTTAAATTAATTATTTAATAAATAATTTTTTATTTTATTTATTGTTAAATAAACATTTTTTTGCTTAGTTAAAAAAAAATTCATAATAAAAACAAAAAATATATAAACTTAATAATATTTAAAAAAATCGAAACAACTAAAATTGCGAAAAAAATAATATATATAAATATTTATTTTTTATCAAACTTCAGAAAAAAGGTAAAAGTACATTGAAATAATTCTAAATATATATTTAATAAGATGTTATTTTAAATTTAAAATATAATTATAAATAAATAATAAAATTAATAATTAAAAATAAATAAAAATAATATATAAAAAATATATATTTTTTTTAAAAATATAATATTAAGATTTAAAAAATAATAGAACTATGAAGCAGTAGAAATATAAATACATTTACTGTTAATACAGAATATATAAAAGATAAGAATCAATAAAATTAATTTAATTTGATTTATATTATTAATATTATATTTATTTATATATATATATATATATTTTGTTATATATTTAATAACTTTTATTATATCTATTATAATTTTTAATAAATTTTTTATTAAAATTTTTAAATAAATATTATTCTATAAAAAGTTAGAAGTTTTAATTATTTTTTATATAAAAAAAAAGCAAATAAATATAATTATTAAAATTATTATATATTTATTATAATCTAAAATCATATTATTGCAAATACAATAATGATACAAATGTTTAACATAGATAAATAAAAATAATTTTATTTTATAACATAAATATTAAAATATGAAAATAATTTATATATAAAAAAAACTTTTATTAATAACATTATTTTATATATATTATAAAAAAATAACAAAAAAATATAATTCATAAAATTTAGAAAAAAAAATTATTAAAAATAATTAAAAATATTAATTAATAAATAAATTATATAAAATTTTATTATATAAATAAATATAATAGAAAAAAATCATATTTTAATATGTTAAAAAATATATTAATAAAATATTTACAAAATTATTAATATATAAAAAAAAAAATAGAATATTTAAAAAAAAAAAAAATTATAATTATATAATTAATTGAAATAATTTATTTTAAAAATAAAATAAAATAAATTACATAATATATATATAAAATTTATTAAAATTTTCAATTAAATTAATAGTTAAAATTAAATTAATACAAAATAAAAAATATAAAAAAAAATTAAAAAAAAAAAAGATGGTGAAAAATATTTAATATAATAAAAAATAAAAAAAATATAATAAAGAAAAAAAATAAGAATTAAATGTTAATAAAAATAATAAAAAAGATTAAAATAATAATAATAATAATAATAATAATAATAATATTATTAATAATAATAAAAATAACAATAATAATATTATTAATAATTGCATTAATAATACTAATACTTACAAATCTAATTTTATTTATAATAAAAGTAATTAAAATCTATTAAATTTACTTGAAAAAGCACATAAACTTTATCAAGAAAATGTAAAAATTTAGAATTATATTTTAACTAATATAATTTTTTTATTATAGGCAAAAAATTAATTAGAAAAGTATAGACTTGGAAAATCTGATGAATAATGGATGAGAAAAATAATGACCGAAGGCACTTTAAAGGATAAAATATCCGCTTTACAAATATATATCCGTGATAATCCTAAAACAACTATTCCTGCTATATAAAATCTCATAAAATTTGTAAAAAAATAATAGTTAAAAAAATTATAAATATTAAAGGCGGAAACAAAATCTAAAAAAGATGCAATATTATGCTATAATGCATTAAAAATGCTTTTTTCAAGTAATTTAATGCCCGATTATGAACTAAAAACATTTTTTTAAAATGCAATAAACAAAAAAGATTTTACTGATAAAGAATTAATTGATTATTATTTCGAACATCAATTAAAGCAAATCTATTATTTATTTATAAATAAAATAATTGAACAATTAAATGATAATTTATCTTTTTTTAGAAAAGCATTGGTTTAAATTCTTATTGAAATTTTATTTGCCAGAAGTGAATATTAAGAAGTAAATATAAAAAAAATTTATTTATATAGTTAATATATAAAGATGGTTCTTGAATCATTGTTAAATAAATTTGGAGATAATGATAAATAAATAGTTACTTTATTAAACTAAAATTTAGGAAAAATAATATAAGTAATATATTTTATTTATGCTATTTATTTATATTGTATTTAGAAAAAGAGTTCTTTAATATTGCCTTTAATTAAGGAAATAGAGAGAATTATTTTTAGACCTAACATTAATATTTAAGCATAGTTTTATATAATTAATTTTATTAATACTATAGATTACAAAAATATTGTATATCTAAAAATTATTATGATATTATATTTAAATAATTATATTTTAATTTTTATAGTAAGAAGACATTCTCAAAGAAATAATAAAATTTTTCTTTTTATTATTTTAGAAAATGGTTGAAAAATTAACAGATAACCTTTTATCATCAAAAATATTAAACTAAATTTTAAGAGGAATAAATAAAATATTTCCTCGTACAAAGCAAAATGTAAAAAAAAAATATATATATAACTTATTCATATTATTTATGACTATAAATTCCTATAATATTTTTTTTAAAAATTAATCAAAAAAAACACTTATCCATTTTTTTGCTTTTTATATTTGTTTGAGTTTTTTTTAATAAAAAAAAACAATGTGAATAAATAACATATTAAAATAAATAAATTTTTTATTAAAAAGTTCTAATTATTCAAAGATTACTTTAATTAACAAATAAATTAACTTTTCAATTTAGTACATAAAACAACTAATATAAAGATTAAAATTTAAACTCTTTTATTTATATTTTAAGTGGAAAATTAAGAAAATAATTTATCAGATCGATATTACAGGGTACTTTATGAAATTTTATAAGATTAATAAATCACTCATTCATCATAAACTGAGTTATTTTTTGACTTGCTTTATTTTTCTATAAAAACTGATTCCAATGTTATAAGGATAAAAAGTTTCGTTAAAAGATTATTATAGGTAAAATAAAAAAATTAATTAATAATATAAAAATAAAAATAAAAATAGTTAGCAATACATTGTGAAAATCCATTCACAATAACATCATTAATATTTTTAGGTAAAATATTAAAGGTACATTCAACATTAAAAACAATGATTAACTAAGGTGAAAATTTTTTAGAAGATACAGAAGAAAAATTTAAAGGTATAGTATCGGAATAAGAAGATATAGAAAAAGTAGAGAATGAAAAAAATAAACAAAATAAATCCCTTTAATAAAATGAATAATATGAATATGACCCTTTCAAAAGAGAACCAAAATATTCAAAATGTGAAAATTCATGCTTATGGGAATTGTATGTTTTATTAAGACATAGCCATCCTACAATAAGAAGATTCACTGAAATTTTACTATAATAGAATTAATAAATAGAATACAAAGGAAACCCTTTATTGGACTTTACAACAGCAAATTTTTTGGATAGATTTTCATTTAAAAATGCCAAAAAGAAGGAATCTTCTGGATTAAAAAATTTGAAGGCAAAAGGAAAAATAAGAATGTCTAAATTAGAACAAGCTTTATAAGTTGAAGATTTCATGAAAAAAGACCAGAAAAAAGTGAGGGAAGAAGAAAAATATTTTATGAAATATTTTTAATAAAAATTACAAAAAAGAGAAGGTTTAGCAGAAAAAATAGCAAAAAAAAATAAAAAGATGAAAATTTTGAAGGAGATGTTGATGCTGAAATAGATAATTATGTTGATTAGTTAGCTTAAGATTAGTTAAACAGCGACTTTTATGATTAAGATTAAGATGAAGATATTGAATATTCAGTTTCAAAAGATAATAATAAAGGTTAAGAATCTTAGCTGGACGATGATTAATATATAAGTTAGGAAGAAAATTAAAGTTAGTTTGATAATGAAGACGATAACTTTTATGATGAATACTAATTAAATAAAGATTAATTAGATGAAGATGACTATGAAGATATTGACAGCGAAGAATTAGGTTTATTTTTATATTTTTATATTTTTATTTATTATTAATTTTTAGGGGATATAGGTAACTTAGAAAATTAATTAGAAGAAGAAGAATTAAAAATGGGAATAGATGGTGATTATGAAGAAGATGATGATATTGAAGATTTTGAAACTTTGTTACGAAAAGCAGGTAAAAAAGATGATGATTATTATGTTAATGAAAAAAATAATTTCCTTAATAATAAGAAAAAGACAATTAAAAAATAAAAAAATAAATTTAATAAAATTAATAATTAAAAAAAAAAAAAGAAATGAAAATGAAAATTATTTTAAATATTATATTTTATTTAAAAATAATTATGTTGATAACATTTTTTATGTTTGCAAATAATAATAAATCTTAAAATAAAAAAATATATATTTTGAAAAAATTTATGTAGTTAATATTGATATTATTAAAATAATAAGAGTTATTATCATCAAAAGTATAATTTAAATAAATATTTTTTATGTATTGTAAGTTTGTATTTAATTTAAATTATAAGATTCTTGTTAAAATTAAAATTAAATTATAATAAAAACTTCAATATTTTTAACAAACCAATATTTGATAAATATATAAATTTAGAAAAATTAAATTATTTATTAATAATATATAAAATTCTATATTATATTAAAATATAAAATTTATAAATAATTATAAAATAATAATAATAACAAAATAAGTAATTATATCAATTTTTATAATTAAGTTTATTAATAAAATTACAAAATTTCAATTATATTATTATAAATTATGATTTATATTTAATATAAAAGTAAATAAATAGAAAGTTTTAAAAATTGAATGTTAAACTTAAAAAATATTTTTTATAATATATATATATATTTTTAGTAAAAAATTAAAAAATCTTATAAACATCTATAAATTATTTATATAAAAAAATAGATTTATAACAATTTTTTATTATTAATTTGTTACAAAATAAAATATATATAAAAAAAAAAAAAATATTTAGATAATTTTTAAAATAGTTACAAAATATATTATAATAATTGATAAAATAAAATAATTATAAAAAAATAAATCATTAAATATTATTTATTAAATAAAATAAAAATAATATATATGATTTTAAAAAAAATATTTTATTTATTTATTTATTTATTTAATAATATTTTATATTAAAATATCAAATAAAAGAAAAATTATAATATTAAATTACGGTAATCAACATAAACAAAGATTCTACCCTTTTAATTAAATCAAACTAAAAATATAAAAAAAAATATTAATTTTTAGTAATAACTATCTTCTTAGTTTTTATTTTAATATAAAAAATATATTAAAACCAATATTTGTATTAAAATACATTCCGCTTTCGAAAGTTTATAAATATGATTATCTTATTTTTATTTTAATTTGAAATAAATATATTTCAGTTTATTTTTTAAAATAATTGTTTTAAATAATTTTTTTTTTATATAATTTATATTTATATATAAAGTATTATTTAAAAATTACTTTAAAATTTTAATTTTTATTTTAAATTGAATAAATTTTATAAACTCTTTTGATTTTAATATTAAAAATTTTTAAATTAATTTTATTAAAATAATAATTTTAGATTAATTAATTTATATTCATTTAAATAATGCAAATCATATGTTTAAAAAATATAAAAAGAAATCAAAATTAGACGTTAGAGAGAGTATGTTTTTTTTACATAACAAAATATAATCAATTTCGTCTTAAGATTAAATTAAATTAAATAAAATTAATCCGATAAAGCTATGATGAGTATGTATTGGATCTGGATGTTTACTACTAGGATATTTCATAAATCCTAATCCTTTATATTCACATAATTTAATAAACTATCCTAAATTATTTCCTTAAATTAATTAATCACAACCTAAAATATATAAACTAACTCCTACCCAACATGAATATCAGCTGTCAGGTTATTTATTTACTCTTCCATTAAAACCTGTTATATTTTCAGATTCACTGATTTAAATATATCTATTCATTAGCCAATTTATAATTTAAGTTTTTAAAGGCAAAGAATCTAACTTTTGTAAAATTTTTAAACTTGCTAACCCACAAAAAGTGGCTCCTCCATGACTTTCTAATCCTGGTTGAAGCCCAAAAGCACCATTTGCTTAATTTTAGCATTACAGTATATATTCTAAAGCCTTTTAAGTATTAATATATGAGAAATCATTTAATAAAACACATATTACTAGTGCTGAATATGTAAAACGGATATCACTTTCTTCTTCGAATTCGAAGCTTTTAAATTCACCTGTTTCAGTTTATAGTCTTCTTATATTTTCCAATATAAAATCTTTGTTTATCTTTTATAAGTCATCTCCAAGTATTTTTAATGATATAAGTGCACATTATGTATATACGATATTGTAATATTCGGGTATTTAGTTTATTTCTTAACGAGGAAAATTGAGACTACCTATAAAGCCTCCATATTTGATGCTATTTTTAGCATTTTATATTTATAATTAATATATCCAATTTTTTAATTCTTCTTTTTTTTAAAGAGTTAATACTTCATCTATACCATCTAATAAATCTATTGTGTTTAAAAGAAAAAATATAACATATATTTTTTATGAATCAAACTCTTAGAATTTTTGTTCAGTCAGTAATTAATGTTATAGTGATTTTAAATGAGAAGATTTATCAAATTTTAATATTTACATTTTTTTGACTTAAAAAGTTATATATAAAATATATTTTTTCAATCTTTTCCTTTTAAATATTTTATTTTTGTATAAAACTATATTATATATTTAAAATAAAATTATATTATATATGAGTATAATTTTTTTGTTATAAAAAAAAAATATATATAGATATAAATTAAAAAATGTTACCAAATAAAATTCCCGTTAATATTGAAAAGCTTTTTCCTTCTAGAAATTGCTTAATTTTAGAAAATAATTAAGTATATTCTGAACTAAAAGAACCAATAAAAAACTTGGACGAAATAATCAATTAATAAATCTAAATATGGATGATTGACATAAATTCTGATTTTTAATTTTCTTTACCAACAACTGTTTTTACAGGTAATGAACCGCCTATAGTATATTTTTAATCTTAAGAAGAAAGCATAAATACAAATTTACAACGACTTACATAGGAACAATTAAATAGCATAAAGTTAAAAGGTGAGTTTTTAGTGAAAATTAATCCTTCTGATTAACTTGGTACAACATGGAAAATGAGTAAATATATAATTAAAGGACAAGAATATATAAAAAAATCTACGGAGCGAGATTTAGGAAAATGCTTTCATTAAATTATACAGATACAATGCAGAATTAGAAATAAATTTGCTTGTAATTATTCTTAAAAATTAAGAATTTTAAATCCTAATATTTGTGATGGATTTAAGTTTATATATGGTGTTCTTTGTAGAATTTCGAATTTGTTATTTGGTAATAAATATATGACTATCGTAACTAAAGGAGAGGTACTCTAATTTCTTTTTTAAAAATAATAAAAAGAATACTTGAAAGAAAATAAAGATAAAATTGAAAGTGAATTCTTTTAGTATATCGATAAGATTTAAAGTAAAAAAACTTAAAATATACAGCTTTTTAAAAATTTTGTGAAGAATCAAAAAACTATATAAATTAAGTTGAAAAAAAATTAATAGAAAAATATCAGATTTTAGGTGAAGAAGAAGAAATTGCTTAATTAAAAATTATTGATGAAAAATAAGAAAAATTATTATAGTTTATATAAGAAAAATTATAAAAAATGCCTTAAGAAGCCTAAAAACATTTGATTGATTTACAAAAAAGCCTTCAAATAATAGTTAAGCATAAGGATACTTATTAAAAATTAGTTTAAAAATAATAAGAAGAATTTAGAAAATAAATTTAATAAAATCATTTTATCAAATCACGAGTTTAAATTTGGCTTTAGTAGAAAGTATAAGAATAAATAAGTATTTTTAAAGAAAAGCAAAAGAGCTTTTTATATAATTAAATTTTGGATGAATTAAAAGTAAAAAAACTATAATCATAATATGATTTGTTTAAGAATTTCGTAGAATTTCAAAAAGAGAAAAAATATTTATTTTTAAAAGAAAAAAAAAATGTAGAATAGAAATTACAAAAGCCTTTAAGAACTTTTATCACAAGATAATATTAATATAAAGGACATATTGAAGAATATTAATGCTAATATTCTAAAGAAAAATAGTTTAGATATGTTAATTATTTTGATATTGAAACTAAAACCAATTTTTTTGGATGGAGAATAGTACTTTAATTTATTCGATACAAGGTTTGGACTATTAACATTTTTATTAATTTTATTAGTTATATTTTTGATGGATAATATGGTTTTAAAGCTCTTTTCTATTTAAAAGAATTCGAGTATAATGAATATTTTGATCAAAATACAGTATAAATAAAATATTATAAGGCCTAACCTTATGTTTAGAAACTAAAAAATACTTATTTAGATATAATAGAAAGTCGATAAGTATTTGAAAGGAAGCCTGACAGAGGATTTTTTGGCAAAAACATTTTAAGGACATTTAATTATATAGAATGTTATTTTTACAGAGCTATTTTTTTAGGCATTATAATATAAGGAATAGTATTTCCAATATTTATAATTTTAAATATTTTTATTAGTACGCTTTTGGCTTTTACATCTTTTCTTTATGTACCTTTTTTATTACTTTTTAGATCTGTTTGGCATATTGTATTTTGGGATTTTGATTCTCCAACAAGATTCTCAAATTACATTTATTCTAATGAATTTAATTATTATATTTCTTATTAGCCTTTTTAGATTGTTGTATTCTGTTTACATTTTCTAATTGGTGTTTATGAAGTTGTTTGCTCTTGTATTTCTGTTTTAGTAATACATCCTCTGGGAGCTCTTATATATTTAATTTTTGCTTATTTAAGATTTTTATTTGCAAATGTTTCCGATTTTTTTATCTTCTTTTTCGTAAAAAAGCTAGGGAGATAGCCTGAAATTGATACATTTATTTGTTGGAAATAATAAGGAAAAGGTGTAACTAGATAATATACTTTTTCTATAGATATTTAAGATGTTTTGATTTTACTTCGAGGACTTTTGGAAAAAAAAGAACTCGATTATTTCTAAAAAAAAATAACTGATACTGTTAATGAACCTATTATAAAATATAGATAATTAATGAATACATTTATGCAATTTTATTCTTTTTGTGATTAGAGATTTTAAAATAATGTATATATTTCCGAAAAATGTGAAATACTTATTAAAATTCTAAATAAATAAATTGAATAAAGAATGAAAATATTGCCTTAAAGGCCAATTAATAATGTAAAATTTACATAAAAAGAATTAAATTTGATTATTTAAAAAGCTTATTAATTATTAAGAAGCTTTCTTGAAGAAAAAAAATTGATAAAAAATGGGCTTTCTAGGCTTTTGGAGAAGAAGAAGAAAGTACAAACTTATTTAGTGTATGTGAAAAAATGCTTATTTAAGCTTTTTAAGATGAACTTGTAGTTTATCCTATAGAAGATCTTGATAAAAGAATTGAAATCAAAAGAAAAAAAATAATACTTACTCATCTATTTATAAAGCTATTGAAGGATAATTTAATTTAATAGAACTTTAAAGTTAGTTTAAATTTTAAAAATTCAAATAAATTAATATTTTACCTTTTGTTAATGTTTAGGATGTTTTTGATTACCATAATAATTTTAAGAAGAAAAATCAAATTTTTACTTGCTTATATTTCAATTTAAAAGAATTTTAAGATATTAAAAAAAAAGTTGATTGAATTTTGTAAAAAAAAAAATATG